GTGCATGAAGACGTGGGGGAACAAATGCATGTAGATGTGGGGGGAACAAATGCATGTAGACATGGGGGGAACAATTCCATGTAGATGTGGGGGGAACAAGTGCATGTAGATATGGAGGGAACAAGTGCATGAAGACATGGGGGGAACAAATGCATGTAGATGTGGGGGAACACGTGCATGTAGACATGGGGAGAACAATTCCATGTAGATTTGGGGGGAACAAGTGCATGCAGATGTGGGGGGAACAAATGCATGTAGACATGGGGGGAACAATTCCATGTAGATGTGGAGGGAACAAGTGCATGTAAATGTGGGGAACAAGTGCACGGGTGACTTGTATGTGTCAATGGTAGGTATCTCCACCAATGTAACAATTAAAGTGTCCAACATTTTTTTCCCTTCAATTAAAAAAACCCTGTGATTAGAAACATATATGATTAGGTAAAAATAGAACCATGACTCTTATTTCACAATTTATGTCCCTGATTTGTGACATGTATCGTTTTGGGCAAATGCCCCCCGCCCCCCACCAGTGTGCCTTCGATTTTATTCTTATGCTTGAAATCCAATTTCAGGAGAATAAAAGAGCTTCATTTTCTATTATTATAATTCGAATTTTTTTAAGTAATGGGCATATCAACGCAGAACAATGAGTATCTTGAACCAAATAATAAGAACTAATTTCTAATTACATGTTATTTCTTTTCACCTCCACCATCACCAATGACATGGACTTCACCTGGACATTTTGAGCAGGAAAACAATGCAGGAAGCACACTTCCGTCGTAGAGAATGGCGAATCGCCCTTATCAGAGTACAGTACTTCCTTGATGAACTCTCTTGGAAACAATGTTTTTCACCAAATATCTCTCTTATTCTTTCTTTAACATACTACCACGTAGTCACACCCATCATAACAGGTGACTGAGCTCTTACAGGCCTCCCTGCGTTCTCTGAGAAGTGCCTGTAGCTGCTGTTTGCAGAAAATGCCTGTCACCTGCATCTTGGGTCTTTGTCTCTCAGAGTCTACTGCCCAACTGTTTATATGTTACTCTGCTGGCCTATGTGTTTTCAATTCACCACATCATTCAAAACTGAGGTAGTAGAACCATACAGCATTGTTGTTTATTTCAACCCTGGCTACCACAAGGGAGCTTTAAGAAAATATGTTGATGGCCAGGTTGGGTAATCCCAGCCCCAAGGAAAGGATCTGAGCCAGTACCACAGAATCCATGACAGTCATACATGACAAAAGTCAACACAGGCACTGTGCTCTGAATTCCAGGGGCACTATGGCATTTAGCAGTCACTTTTGTTTTTAATTACATGTTTATTTTGAGGTATTTGTAGATTTACATATGGTTATAAGAAATAATATAGAAACACCCTATGTCCCCTTTACCCAGATTCCCTCAATGGTGACATCTTGCAATTGTAGTACAATATCACAACCAGGATATTGCCATTAATACAGTTGAGAGACAATCAAATACAGAACATACCCAAAAGGATTCTTCATGTTGCCTCTTTATAGTCACATTCACTTCCCTCTCTCCACCTCCCCTAACCCCTGGCAACCACTAAAGTGTTCTCTATTTCTATGATTTTTATAATTTTAAGGATGTTATATAAATGGAATCACACAGTATGTAACCTTTTGGGATTGGATGTTTTACTAAGTATAATTCTCTGAGGATTGATCCAAGCTGTTGGGTATATCAATAATTGTTTCCTTTTTTTTTTTTTTTTTTTTTTTTTTTTGCTGAGTAGTATGGACACACTACAATTTAATTATTCACTCACTGGAGAACATCTAGATTGGTTCCAATTTGGGGCTATAATGAATAAAATTACTGTAAATATATTTATACAACTTTTTGTGTAACATAGTTCATTTCTCTAGGATAAATGCCTAGAATACAATTGCTGAGATGATAGTAAATACAAGTTTAGTTTTTAAAGAAACTGCCAAATTGTTCCCCAGAGTGGCTGTACCATTTTACATTCCCACCAGCAATGTATGAGGGATCCAGTTTCTTTACCTCTTCACCAGTACTTGGTAATGGTGTTGAACATCTTTTCATGAGCTTGTTTACACCTTTATATCCTCTTAGGTGAAATGTCCATTCATTTCTTTTGCTCGTTTTCCAACTGGATTAACTGTTGGGTTTTGAGAATTCTTTTTTTTTTTTTAATAGAAATCATTTTATTTATTTTTTTTTAAATTAAATCTTTATTGTTCAGATTATTACAGTTGTTCCTCTTTTTTCCCCCCCATAGCT